AAAAAAATTTTTTTTTTTTTTTTAAAGGAGGTGTCCTGGGTTTCTCCCTGTCTTCTGAGATGCTCTCACTAGGAGAATTTTCACTCGGTACTGCTTTTTACCGTTTGAACTCTGTTTTTACCACGTACGTGGATTTTCTTTTAAAATTCGAAGATAGGGGCGCCTGGGTGGCGCAGTCGGTTGAGCGTCCGACTTCAGCCAGGTCACGATCTCGCGGTCCGGGAGTTCGAGCCCCACGTCAGGCTCTGTGCCGACAGCTCAGAGCCTGGAGCCTGTTTCAGATTCTGTGTCTCCCTCTCTCTCTGCCCCTCCCCCGTTCATGCTCTGTCTCTCTCTGTCCCAAAAATAAATAAACGTTGAAAAAAAAAATTTTTTTTAATTCGAATATAATATCTAATAGTTGAGCGTCAGGGAACAAAACGTCTCATTGTGTCTGCGCTGAAATGATTTAAGGCTGGCTCTGGGCTCTAAAGCCAGGATGACTAACCGCACGGTTTAACCACGCGGTGCGGACCCAGCGCTGGTGGCTGTGGCCGGGCCACATCAGTGCAGGAAGTCGGTGCTGCCGACGTTGATAATCATTTATCACCCCTGCCTTTTGGCTTGACTGAGGAAGAAAGACCAACAGCCACAAATTAAGTGTTTGTGTGCAGCATAATATTAAGGCTCCTTTTGCACTGGGAGGTCTTTGGTGAGGGTTAAATACGGAACATGAATATTTATAGGTTGTATTAGCCCGGGTTCTCCAGAGAAATAGAACCCACAGGATGTGTGTGTGTATGTAACTAAATACGTGTGTATGTATATGAAGAGAGAGATTTATTTGAAGGAATTGGCTCATGCAGTGGCAGAGGCTTGGCAAGTCCCATTCTGCAGGGCAGGGCAGGGCAGCAGCCTGGAGACAGGAGCCAGTCGCCATTCGAGAACAGAGGCTGCTGACTGACAAAGCTCCTCCTTGCCCGAGGAGGCAGCCTTTCTGTTCCGGCCTCCGTCTGATAGGATGAGCCCACCTACTGTATGGAAGGCCCTCTGCTTTACTCAAAGCGTACAGACTTTAAATGTGTTATTTATTTATTTTGAGAGAGAGAGAGAGAGAGAACAGCAGAGGCCAGAGGGAGAGAGGGAGAGAGAGAATCCCAAGCAGGCCCTGAGCAGAGCCCAACTCGGGGCTCGATCCCACTGACTG